GAGGAGGAGGAGGAGGAGGCAGGCTGAGGCTGAGGCTGTGACTGCGACTGCCGTTGCCGCTGCGACTGTCATCGCGAATGCGACTACGACTGCGAGAACAGCAGAATTCGACAACTGGATTTTCATCTGAATCTTAAGGGGAATGCTTTCAGATATGCTTCTACACATCGCTGTTAGGTTGCTTTGCCGGGATAATTTACCTAACAGCGAAGACTGATAGGTTTCTAGTGGGATCAAAAGAGAGCAGCAGATCACTCCACAGGGGGGTCCGGGCAGGCGTTGGGAGTTGCCGGCCGGGCCTGTGCCGGGCTCGTTTTTCACCAACAGTCACACACTTCGTGCTCGTCGACCTCTCAGAACCCCATTCCCAGGCCACATTCTGAATAACCGGATGCAACAGTCACACACTTCGTGCTCCTTGACCTCCCAGAACGCCATTCCCGGGCCACATTCGGAATAGCCGGACGCAACAGTCATACAATTCCTCGTACTTGACACCCCAGAACTCCATTCCCGGGCCACATTTTGAATGCCCGGAGCCAACTGTAGGCCACTTCGTGCTCTTCTATTTCCCAGAACTCCATTCCCGGGCCACATTTTGGATGCCCGGAGCCAACTGTAGGCCACTTCGTGCTCTTCTATTTCCCAGAACTCCATTCCCGGGCCACATTTTGGATGCCCGGAGCCAACTGTAGGCCACTTCGTGCTCTTCGAGTTCCCAGAACTCCATTCCCGGGCCACATTTTGAATGCCCGGAGCCAACTGTAGGCCACTTCGTGCTCTTCGAGTTCCCAGAACTCCATTCCCGGGCCACATTTTGAATGCCCGTAGCCAACTGTAGGCAACTTCGTGCTCTTCGACTTCCCAGAACTCCCATTCCTGGGCCACATTTTCAGCAGGGGCAAGAGCACGACGAGGAGGAGGACGAGCAAGACCAGGAGGACGAGGACGAGCAGGAGCAGGACGAGGAGCAGGAGGAGCAGGAGAAGAAGGACGAGCAGGAGGAGGAGGAGGACGAGCAGGAGGAGGAGGACGACCAGGAGGAGGAGGACGACCAGGAAGAGGAGGAAGAGGAGGAGGAGGGGAGGGGGAGGAGTACCAGGAGGAGGAGGAGGAGGAGGAGGAGGAGGAGGAGGAGGAGGACGAGGACGAGGAGGAGGAGGAGGGGGGGGGAGAGTACCAGGAGGAGGAGAACGAGGACCACCAGGAGGAGGAGGAGGAGGAGGAGGAGGAGGAGGAGGAGGAGAGAACACCACGAGGAGGAGGACGAGCAAGACGAGGAGGACGAGAACGAGGACGTACCAGGAAGTGGGAGGAGGAGGAGAGGAGGAGGGGAGGGGAGGACTACCAGGTAGGAGGAGGGAGGAGGAGGAGGAGGAGGAGGAGGAGGGAGGAGGAAGAGGAGGAGGAGACGAGGAGAGGAGGAGGAGGAGGACGAGGAGGGGAGGGGGGGGGAGAGCACCAGGAGGAGGAGAACGAGGACACAGGAGGAGGAGGAGGAGGAGGAGGGGAGGAGGCAGGAGGAGAGAGAGAGCACCAAGGAGGAGGGAGGGAGCAAGACGACGGAGACGAAAGAACGAGGGACGAGCAGGAAGAAAGAGGAGGAGGGAGGGAGGAGGAAGGAGGAGGAGCAGGAGAAAGAGGAGGAGGAAGGAGGAGGCAGCGAGGCTGTGACTGCGGACTGCCGTTGCCGCTGCGACTGTCATCGCGAATGCGACTACGACTGCGAGAACAGCAGAATTCGACAACTGGATTTTCATCTGAATCTTAAGGGGAATGCTTTCAGATATGCTTCTACACATCGCTGTTAGGTTGCTTTGCCGGGGTAATACCTAACAGCGAAGACTGATAGGTTTCTAGTGGGATCAAAAGAGAGCAGCAGATCACTCCACAGGGGGGTCCGGGCAGGTGTTGGGAGTTGCCGGGCGGCAGGTGCCGGGCTCGTTTTTCACCAACAGTCACACACTTCGTGCTCTTCGCCTTCCCAGAACTCCATTCCCAGGCCACATTCTCAATACCCGGATGCAACAGTCACACACAAAGTGCTCTTCGAGATCCCAGAACGCCATTCCCGGGCCACATTCTGAATAACCGGATGCAACAGTCACACACTTCGTGCTCATCGACATCCCAGAACGCCATTCCCGGGCCACATTTGAATAACCGGATGCAACAGTCACACACTTCGTGCTCTTCGAGTTCCCAGAATTCCATTCCCGGGCCACATTTTGGATGCCCGGAGCCAACTGTAGGCCACTTCCTGGTCTTCGAGTTCCCAGAACTCCATTCCCGGGCCACATTTTGAATGCCCGGAGCCAACTGTAGGCCACTTCGTGCTCTTCGAGTTCCCAGAACTCCATTCCCGGGCCACATTTTGAATGCCCGTAGCCAACTGTAGGCAACTTCGTGCTCTTCGACTTCCCAGAACTCCCATTCCTGGGCCACATTTTCAGCAGGGGCAAGAGCACGACGAGGAGGAGGACGAGCAAGACCAGGAGGACGAGGACGAGCAGGAGCAGGACGAGGAGCAGGAGGAGCAGGAGAAGAAGGACGAGCAGGAGGAGGAGGAGGAGGACGAGCAGGAGGAGGAGGACGACCAGGAGGAGGAGGACGACCAGGAAGAGGAGGAGGAGGAGGAGGAGGGGGAGGGGGAGGAGTACCAGGAGGAGGAGGAGGAGGAGGAGGAGGAGGAGGAGGAGGAGGAGGAGGAGGAAGAGGAGGAGGAGGACGAGGAGGAGGAGGAGGACGAGGGGGACGAGGAGGAGGAGGCGGGGGGGGGAGAGTACCAGGAGGAGGAGAACGAGGACCACCAGGAGGAGGAGGAGGAGGAGGAGGAGGAGGAGGAGGAGGAGGAGGGAGAGACACCACGAGGAGGAGGACGAGCAAGACGAGGAGGACGAGAACGAGGGCGACCAGGAAGAGGAGGAGGAGGAGGAGGAGGAGGGGAGGGGGAGGACTACCAGGAGGAGGAGGAGGAGGAGGAGGAGGAGGAGGAGGAGGAGGAGGAGGAGGACGAGGAGGAGGAGGAGGAGGACGAGGAGGAGGAGGGGGGGGGAGAGCACCAGGAGGAGGAGAACGAGGACCACCAGGAGGAGGAGGAGGAGGAGGAGGAGGAGGAGAGAGCACCAGGAGGAGGAGGACGAGCAAGACGAGGAGGACGAGAACGAGGACGAGCAGGAGGAAGAGGAGGAGGAGGAGGAGGAGGAGGAGGAGGAGGAGCAGGAGAAAGAGGAGGAGGAGGAGGAGGAGGAGGCTGAGAACTGCGACTGCAGAATTCGACAACTGGATTTTCATCTGAATCTTAAGGGGAATGCTTTCAGATATGCTTCTACACATCGCTGTTAGGTTGCTTTGCCGGGATATCTGGCGTCGCCGTTTTCAACATGTGATTCGTTATCTTTTCTCCATGTGTATTTTTCTCATACTCGCCAAATCCTGCGTATTCTCCCCATCCTCCTCAGCTCTTTTTGCGGAGGCTCCTCCTTGGAGAGCCTCTGGGGTCCTCACACAAGATTTTCAGGCTTTCGTGAGGCCTTCTGGAAGCCTCCTGGGCGTCTTCTGGGGCCTTTGGGGGCTTCCTCGGGCCACCCTGCCTCCAACCGCGGTCTCCCTGAACGACCGGGTCACGATTTGGAATGCTTCGGAGGGTGTCTTGGGGCCATCTTGGGCCGTCATGGGGCTCTCTTAGGCCATCTTGGAACCCTGTTGAGCCGTCTTGGGGCTCTTTTGGACTGCCTGGGAGCCCTTTCGGATGGTTGTGGGGCGACTTTCGAGCCTCCCAGGCGGCTTCGGACGCCCAGAAGACCGCCGTCTTGAAGCGTCGGGAAGCCGAAAAGAGAAGAACCCCCAAATTCACCAAAAACCGCAAGAGAATCAATGAATTTTGCCTCTTGGGGCCTTCTTGGGAGTGCTCTTGGAGGCCTTTTGGGACGTTTTGGAACGGTCTTTGGGGGTAGGACGGCTTCTTTGGGTTCGTCGTGGACCTTCTTAGGGGCTCTCCGGAGTCTTTTCGGGAGCGCGCCGGAACGCCTGGAGCCCTCTGGGGCCGTCTTTGTGCTCTCGTGGGATTCTCCTGGGTCGTCTAGAGGGTTGCCCGAGAGGCATTGGTTGGGCCAAATTCGTTCGGGGGGATGTGTGTGTGTGTGTGTGCACTGTTTCTGGGGTCAGGGGGGGGCTTTTCCTGGGATCCCCGGCCCTGTAAAAATATATGCGTATGAATAGGCGTAGATTGATTAGAACCACGCGCGGTTCAAGCAAGCCCCAGCTAATGACAGTCGCACAGATGCGTGCAGATGCGTACGCACACAGACAACGTCAGGAGTTACCCACACATGGCTCGAACATTGGAGCTGAATTATTAGTGAAGGACGTGTGCCGGGCAGAGACGATTCCTGACGAGGCGCTGTACAAAGATCCCAAGAGGGCCCAAATGGGGGCCCCAGGATAGTTCCAAAGGGCAGTCCAAGAAGATCACGAGAGCGCCCCGAGTGGGGCCCCAAGGAAGCCCTAAGAAAGGCTCGAAGAGGGCCCAAAGAACCCAAGGCCGCGGCACATGGGGGTCTCAAGAGGCGTCCTAAGAGGGTCCGAAGATGGTCCTTGAGTGGCTTCAAGACATCCCCGGGAAGTGGCCCGACAATACTCACAGAGGTTCCGTAAGGGCTCCTAAGCGAAGGACTGACAGGATCCAAGACTTGCTCTGAGACAGCCACAGAGGAAGGAGGTACCAAGAGGACATAACTTTTTCTCGTCGCAGCACGGCAAAGGCAATCCGCACGCGCGCTCAAGTCGTCCGGGGCACGGAATATTCAGTGTCTGGCGGCACGAGATGGAGAGGAATGCGCTGAACGTCGGCAGGAGTGGCCGGGGCTGCAAGCCGCTGCTGAGGCGTTCTGGCAGTGAGCGTGGAGGCACGAAGGGGTTGCACGGGAAGGGTCTGAGAGGCCTGCAGAGGGCCCGAAGGAGCCTCAAGGGGCTGCTCCAGGCCAGATGCGGCGGAGCCCATGGACGCTCCCATCTGCCAGGGGGCCGCAGAGCTCCGACGTTGCGATTTGCTCGACTTCCTAAGACAGGGCTCTTGTGATTGCTGGAAAGCCCCCGCCCCTCTCACTTACTCGGCCGCCTCCCTCGCGCACTCATGTCCACTCAGACTTGCACCCACTCAAGCTCAGATTCACTCACCGTCGGACTTACTCACACTCGATTTCAGTCACACTCGGACCCACGCGCCGACCACGGAGACTCATAAGCACGCTCGCTCGTACTCACTTCCGTTGTGCTCACTGACACTCAGACGTCTCCATGTCAGTTTCGTTCGCAATCACATGCACACCGAGCCCTTTCGCATCCATGCGCACTCATCGTCAGATTTCCTTGGTGGGGATGTCTCGGGCGGTTTCCTGTGTTTGCTCCTCCCACCGTCTTCGCTTCTGCCAGAGCAGGTTGCCAGGGCTTGAGCACACTGACGCCCCGCACACACACACACACACACACACACACACACGCTGAGACGCATATTCACTTAGAGTCGCTCACACTCAGACTTCATCCATACTCCGACTCACTCAAACAGACCACACACAGATGCTCGCCCCATAGTCACTTTGTGGGCAAGCCTCGGGCGAGGCGCTGCCTTCAGCACCCCAAGAGGGGTCGCCAGGGGGTAGTGCCCAGGCCCCGTCGCGCCCAGATAGTTGGGATGTCGTAGGCGCTTTGCCTGTTTGGTTGTCAAGACTCCTTTGCTTCCAGGTTAGATAGTGAGGACGTCTTGAGCAAGGTGCTGGTTTAGCACCGACGCTCCTCCTGCTGAACGTCCCCTTCTTTTCCCCCTCCTCGTCCTCCTGCTCCTTTCTGTCTTCACCCCATCCTCCTCGTCTGACTCTTTCCCTCCTCGTCCTCTTCTCATTTGTCTTCCTCGCTAGCCTTCGGTGGCGCTAGGTGGCCTTCGACTACGACAGACAACGGACAACGACGACGACGACCGACGACGGACGACGACGACGGACGACGACGAAAACCGACCGATAACGCCACCGACGACGACCCCGACGACCGTCGATGTATGACGAATGACGCACGACGACACGTCCGCGCGCGCGAGCGTTGGCGCACGTCGCACGCGCCCGCGCCGGGCGGAGTTGGGTAGCGCTGGGCGGCGCCAGCCACTGCCCGTCGCGTTCAGACTCGCTATTATTCAGGCTTGGTCATGGTCAGACTGGGTAATACATACCAGCCCCACTCCATATATTCATTCTGGTACAGGGCTCCGTGATCATCGCAACGTAGCAGACATGGCTTTTTTTGCAGGGGAACCACCAAGGGATATTGCACGGGCACCATCGCGCAACTGTGGGATCCTCTTCAAACAGGGCGTGCATTGGGGGGTAAGTTCACGTCTCCCCTTTCCACGGAACATCATCACCAGCATCGCGAAGTAACGGGCATTGCATCTCGACCACTCAAGAGGAGCCCCCCCGGGGTATTGCACGGGCCTGCTCGCGCCTAGATTGCGGAGACGTCTGAAGCAGGATGGCAATCCGGTGGGGGCAGACGTGTCTCACTGAAGAGCCACATGACCATGGCGATTTGACGGGCATGGAATTCAGGTCGCCCCATCGAAACCGCCAGGGGGTATCGCACGAGCCCTTTCGCGCCAGCCTTGTTGGGACGTTCCAGCCAGAGCTGCCGTTCTGGCGGGGTACACGTGGCTCCTTCCAGAGCAACATTGTCATCGCAACGCCACCAGCACGGCATTTGCGCCACCCTGATGGGACCCATCAGGTGGTAGTTTCGGCCTTCCCGAGCCCTCTAGGGGGCCCTCGTGGAGCCCTCTTGGGACGCTAGGTTCATATATTACTACGCACGTGCAGGCGTGCGTCTCGGGGCTCGAAGGCTCCTCGCCGCCTTGAGCGAGCTTCGGGGCTCTCTGGTTGACGGAGGCCTGGGGCCGATCAGAGGAGTATGCTTGGGTTGTGGGCCAGAGGCCTCGTATACGTATCTTGGGGTCTCTTTTGAAGTCTCTCGAAGCACCGTTGGGGGCCTCTCGGGAGTCTCGTGGGGGTTTCCCAGCAGCCTTGGGGTCTCTTGGGCGTTACTTTGGGCACTCTTTTGGGCCTCCCGGGGACCTGCTGAAGGCTTGTTGGGGGCCTCGGGGGTCATCTTTGAGCGGAGGGTTCGTGATGGCAGCTCGGGTTCCCTTTCTTGGGCAAGGCCCTCTTGGGCCGTCTTCGGGGTTTCTCGGTCCGTCCTGGGGCACTCTACGGCCGTCTAGGGGCCCTCTTGGGGGCCTTTTGGGCGGTTTCGGAGTGAGGAGGAGATCCACAGTAAGCAGCCACGCTGACCATTCGATCTGCTGTCAGTCTCACACATGTGCTCCTTCTCTGCGGCCTGCTCCCCTTCCCGTCCGTCGGGAAGCTGGCAATTATCATCCTTCGGTTTTGGCCATGGCGGGGACAGGGAGGGCCAGATTGAGCCCAAGAGGCACTCGCGACGCTGCGACACACCTGCCAGTCCCAGGCCCCCTTCCACAAGCCTCTTCCTCCTCCTCCTCCTTCTTCTCCTCATCATCCCTCCTGCGGGCAGTGCCGCCCCTCGAACTACGAGCGCCCCAAGGTCTTGCCATTCGGGCGAGGGCCCCGTTGTGAAAACAACGAGCAGCCGCTCCTGCTTCTGGGAGCAGTTCAGTCACAGGAGGTGTCCCAAGAGAGTCTTGCTTCGAGGAAGAGCCGCTCTCGACCAGTTGCTCACATATTGCATGCACAGAGACGCGCTTCTTTAGAGTTTGGTTATGACCGTTGTGATCCCGAAGGAGGTCTTACACGAGAGCCCCATCGCGAAAGGGAGCCGCCTTCCATCAATAGAGCTATTGCACAACTGAAGATTTATGACCACAAGGCATGACAAGCTTCAAACTGAAGTTACGTGTAGCAGAAATGCCCTACACCCGCATAGCGACTGGAAGCTTTTAAGACGAATGCATGCGAGTTTCGAGCGAGAACCACCTATTGGAAGCACGCTCCATCTTCCGTGTAAGAGTTGCTTTGGCTAGACGGATGTTCGGGGCTCTAAGGTCAGAGCAGCATGTGCAACATCATTACCTTCCATTCGTGTAGTGGTTGGAAGTCTTTCGAACGAATGTGCGTGCCGCTGGGGCGAGAAACACGTTTCCACGAGGTGCACGAACGTGCGCGATTTTCCGACAACAACTACATTCTGAAAACGAGCCGCTCTCCATTCGCGTAACAAATGGAACATAGGTTAAAACAATTGTTCGCGACGCAGAGGCGGGAACCACTCTTTGAAAACGACCCCCTTCATCTATCCGTGGAGCTGCAGGAAGTTTTGCAGACGAATGCGTGAGGGCGAGAACCTCGTTTGAAACCATATTCCCTCCATCCGTGTAAGGTTTCAGTGCTGGAAGCTTTCACGATGAATGTGCGCAGCGCCGAAGCAAGAGCCACATGTTGAACATGACTCCACCCCCCACACCGTGTAATTGTTGGACATGTCAAGCTTGGGGGGAGAAGGTCTCCGGCGAAACGCCCGGCCCGCCCTACCGACACGTCTGGTCGTCAAACGAGGAGGAGTTATCGGAGGTTCGGGGGTGAAATCGAAGTGGGACAGAGAGCCCCCCACCGGGAAACCTGTTTCGGTTTTGGGTTCGTATCGTGCGCGCGGGCGAGGCGAAGCTGCGTGGGCGGGCCAGAGAAATGACCCCGCTGGTACCAGGGCGGTGCAAGACCCTTGCCCGGGTTGCGCGGGGTAGACCCCAGTGGGCGGGGTGTGCGCTGGGTTGTCCCGCCATGGTGTCCCTATGGTGTCCCTTCGGTGCCCCGTCGGTGTCCCGTTGGTGTCCAGTCGCAGTCCCGTCGTTATCCCGTCGGAGTCCCGTCGGTTTCTCGTCAGAGCTTCGTCGGTGTCCCGTTGGTGTCCTGCTGGTGTCCCGTCGTTGTCCCGTCGCTGCCCCGTCGGTGTCCCGTCGGTATCCCGATTTGTGTCCCGCCTGTGTCCCGTCGGTGTTCGTCGATGTCCCGATTTGTCCCGAGTTGTGTCCCGTCGTTGTCCAGATTGGTGTCTCGATTGGTGTCCTGATGGTGCCATGGTGGTGTTTCGTTGGTGTCTCGATGGTGTCCTGGTGGTGTTCCGATAGGTACCCCGAATGGGGTTCCGATTGCGTCGTGATGTATCTGTGGTGTTTGCTTGGTGTCCTGGTGGTGTACCGATGGCGCCCCAGTAATGTCCCGATCGTATGAAGGTGGTTTCCAGCATCTGAGATCGATCGTGAGACTTGGGGGGTGATATCGTTGAGAAACGATGCGCCAAATGTTCCGTCGGTGTCCTGGCGTTGTCCGGTCGGTGTACCATCTGTGTCGCGTTGGTGTCCCGTCGGCGTGCCATCAGAATTCCGTCGGTGTTCCGTCGGCGTCCCGCTGGTAAGACTAGCCGTGAGGTCGATAGTGAGATCGATCGAGTGAGATCGATAGCGGGGTCGATAGTGACATCACATCGCGGCGCAGCATCGCCAGCACGCGTCGTCGCCAACTCGAGGGCGCGGCGCCACCAGCATCGTCATCATGACACCCATCGCAGTTCCAGCAGTTGGCTCTTTCCCCTTCCCCCAACCTCCTTATCACCCGAAGGGTGGTCGTATAGGTCTACCAGGAAAGACGGAGGATGGGGTGGAGGAGGAGCCGGAGGGGGAGGAGGAGGAGGATTAGGAGGAGGAGACCGGGCGCGGAGGTGGAAGAGGGCGAGAATAAGGAAATACGTGGACGCGGGGGAGGATTGGGAGGAGGATGAGGAAGACGGGGAGGGCGAGAAGGATCAGGTGGAGGATGAGGACCAGAGTAAACCCAGGAATCATCATCGATGTTGGAATAACCCCCCCGCCAAGTTTCCTCTTCATAGGCCCCACGGTTCATTTCCACTGAAGGAATTCGTCGGAAGACAACCATTTGAAGACCCTGGTCAAGGTATTTTTTCTCGGGATTCCAACGCCATGGATCAACCTGACTGTTGCGTCTTGACGATCCTAAATTCTACCAAAACGCCTGTCCTGGGACTTCAACACCGCAAATCAACGTAACTGTTGCGCTCTCATAATCCTGAATCCTTCCGCAACGCCGTTTCTGGTACGTTGACCATGGGAATTCGTGAAACGCTTGCACAGTTTAGAAACAAATGCGCACGGCGCGAAGGCGAGAGTCACATTTTGAAAGTAAACCGCCCTCAATCCGTGAAGCTCTTGCAATGGTTAAATAGAGGTTGCGCGGCGCTAGTGCGGCAGCCACATGTTGGAAACGACCCGCCCTCAATCCGTGAAGCTCTTGCAAATGTTTAAACGAGTGTGCGCGGCGCTAAGGCGAGAGCCACATTTTGAAAACGACCCGCTCTCAATCCGTGAAGATCTTGCAGATGTTTAAAACGAGTGTGCGCGGCGCTCAGGCGATATCCACATTTTGAAAGCCACCCGCCCTCAAGCCGTGACACTCCTGCAGATTTGACGAAGGGATGTACGCGGCGCTGAGGCGAGAGCCACATTTTGAAAACCATCCGCCCTCCATCTGTGAAGTTGCTGCCAATGTTTAAGCTTCAGGGTCATAACTGGTGAGGAAGTCTCAGGCGAAACGCCCGGCCCGCCCTAAAAACTGGCCTCTAGGTGCGACAGGGAGACGTTGTTTTTAAGGAACAGGCATGGAGAAAGAGGAAAAGGTGGAGGACGAGGAGGAGGAATAGGAGGAGGCGGAGGAGTTGGAGGAAAAACGCGGATGAGGATAACGAGGATTAGGTGGAGGAGAAGGGCACGAGGATGTGCAGGGGGAGGCAGCGGGAGGTGTGATGATGCTGGCGATGTTGATGGTGATGATGAGGAGGAGCAGTAGAAGTGGGATGATGATGACGTGGGTGAAGATGATGATGAGGAGCAGGAGGAGGAGGAGGACAAGGGTGGAGAAGACGGATGATGATGATGATGATGATGATGATGATGATGATGATGATGATGATGATGATGATGATGATGATGATGATGATGATGATGATGATGATGAGGAGCAGGAGGAGGAGTCCGAGGAGGAAAACGAATGGAGGATGAGTTCAAGGAGGGGCAGGCTGAGGAGCAGGAGCAGGAGGGAGATGGGGAGGTTGGAGAGGCAGGAGGCCCCAGGAGCAGGAGACCCCCCCTCGTGCAGAGGCCCTCGAGTTCCTGGAGGGCTCCTTGGCTAGCCCGGTGCACTTCCGGAAGAAAGTACACTTGCATAAGCATAGCTTTCGGACGTCTGCGCGTCTTCCCGAAATCGGCGCTGGACCCCCTTCCATGGCGCGCAGAGCGCGTCATGGGGGCCACCAGGGGCGCCGCCAGGGGACCCAGCGTCAATCCAAGCAGTTCGCGTTGAGCTCCGAATGTTTGCATTTATGCGGTTGTTTTTTCCTCCAACTTCCTGCTCTCTTCCTTCCTTCTCCTCCCCTCCTTCGGCTTCCCTCCTCCCTTTTCCTCCACCACATCCTCCTCTGCCCCTTCCTGGTGGAACTTCTGGAGGGAGTTCAGCTCCTCCGTCTCCTTCTGCTCCTCCTCCTCATCATCATCATCATCATCAGCAGCATCATCATCGTAATCATCATCAGCATCGTCGTCGTCATCATCATCATCATCGTCATCATCACCATCATCACCATCATCACCATCACCATCATCACAATCATCATCATCACCATCATCATCATCATCATCATCATCATCATCATCATCATCACCCTTTCTCCTCCCTCCTCCCTCGTCCCTCCTCTCTCCTCTCTCCTCTCTTCTCTCTCCTCCTCCTCCTCCTCCTCCTCCTCCTCCTCCTCCTCCTCCTCCTCCTCCTCCTCCTCCTCCTCCTCCTCCTCCTCCTCCCTCCTCACCTCCTCACCTCCTCACCTCCTCCTCCTGGAGCCTCCTCCTCCTCCTCCTCCTCCTCCTCCTCTCCTCCGCCTCCTCCTCGTCCTCCTCCTCCTCCTCCGTCATCCTCTCCCCTCCCGGTACACTTCCTGGAGTTCTGCCCCGTGCAGCTCGCCCCGGCGGCGCGGCACGCGCTGCTCCGCCGCTACTACGGCCTCGACGGCCGCGTCGTGCGCGAGGTGCTCAGGATGCTTTGTCGGCGGCGCGCAGCGCGCGGGCCTGCCTTCTCCTGCGCCCTGCCTCCTCAACTCCCCACCGTGAGGGAAGCAGGTCATGAACGAGACGGGTCCTGAGGTCTTCTGCAGTTTTCGGGATCCCGGGGCCCTCCACGGGCCCCGGGACCTTCCGAAAACGGCTCAAGATGACGAGTGGGTCCTGGAGGAAGGCCTCCGGGGTCCAGGACCCGTTTCCGTCAGGACCCGTTTCCCCCGTGCTAAATTCCGTCCTCCTCCCTCCACGCTCTTTATCCTCCTCCTCTCCCCTCCCTGCTCTTCTGTGCCGCCTCCCTCCTCGCTTCCTCCTCCATCCTCCCTCCTCCTCCGTTGGCTCTGGGGGTGAGGTCCTCCAGCAAGGCGGCGCGCAGCCTGCTGCAGTGCCGAGTCCGGCGGACCTCCTGCACTGCTCCACCTCTCCCCTCCCTCCCGAACTTCGATGCGCGCCCTGGCATCTCTCCCTCTCTCTCTCTCTATATATATATAGAGAGAGATCTCTCTCTCTCTCTCTTTCTCTCTTTCTTTCTCTTTCTTTCTTTCTTTTTTTTTTGTTTTCTCTCTCTCTCTCTCTCTTTGTTTCCCAGGGGCAAGGAGGCAGCCCAAACCATGGACAATTGTCCCGAGCCCGCGTCTTCCCTACTTCCTCCTTTCGCCACGAAGGAGAGGCGTCCTGAGGGTCCCAAGGAAACGGGTCTGGAGTTTTTTCGTCTGTTTCGGGCTCTCAGGGCCCTCCACGGGCCCAAGGACTGTCAGACCGCGCCTTAGGGACGGAAAGGTGGCGCTCGGGGAAGGCCTCCTGGTCCAGGACTCGTTTCCCTCAGGAGCCGTTCCACTCATGCCAATCCGTCCTCACTATTGCCTCTTTATAGTTCTCCTCTCCTCTGCACCTCCTCCTCCTCCTCCATCATCCTCCCTCCTCTCCTCCGTTCGCCTCCCTGCTGCCTTTCCGCTCCTCCTTACGCTCCCGTCCTGTTTCTCCTCCCTCCTGCCCCACCCTCCTTCCTCCTCCAACTCCTGCGCGGGTCGGGGCAGGGACCCCAAGCTCGACCGAGGGGGGGGTGGGAGGTACAGAAGCTGCCGCATGCAACTGGTCTCGGTCCCGCCACTGGGCGTACTCTATCCCCCCCCCCACCGTCGCCCGCCCGAGGGCTGGCGGCTGGCAGGAGAGAGGGGGGGGGGGGGCGACCAGCCCAGACCTCGGGCGGATCGGGCTTCTCGACCCCGCGAAGGGTTAGCACGTCAAAGATGACCCAAGAGGGCTCCATATAGCCAAAGATGGCTTCTAAGATGGCACGACATAGCCCAACGCGGTCCAAGATAGCCTCCCAGATGCTTTTGAGAGGCTTCTGAGAGCGTCCCGGGACGGCTCCGAATGTCCACGGATCATCCCAAGGACGCGGCGTTCTGCCTAATTTGTCAGCTCCGGGGGGGCATGCAGAGCTGGACCCAGGGCGAAATCCTTCGGAGGAGGAAGGCATCTATACAGGTCCACCTCGTTCCTCCGTTCCTTTTTCCTATTCATAATTCCTCCCTGTCGCACCCCGAGGTCTGTCGAAAGGGCGGGCCGGGCATTTCGCCTGAGACCTTCTCACCACTTATGATCTTGACGTTGTTCAATTTTCAAGAGCTTTACGGATGGATGGCGGCGGTTTTCAAAGTGTGGCTCTCGCCTTCGCGCTTCGCACATTCGGTTTTAGAGAATTACAAGAGCTTCACGGATGCAGGGCGGCTCCTTTTCAAACTGCGGCTCTCGCCGTAGCGCCGCGCAGGTCCGATTCAAAAAGTGCAAGAGTTTCACGGGTGGAAGGCGGGCGCTTTGCAACATGGGGTTCTCTCTTTAGCGCAGCGCACATACGTTTTAACACATTGCAAGAATTCGCGGATTGAGGGCGGCTTCTGTTCAAAATGTGGCTCTCGCATTAACGCCGCGCACATCGTTTTTTATTGCAAGGTGTTCACCGGTGGAGGGCGTTTCTTGTTCAACATGTGGTTCTCGCCTACGGTCCGCGCGCATTCTTTTAAAGTGCCCACACTAGTTAACGTCCCCACATTGAGGGCGCCATAGTTACGTTGAGTCGCGGTCTCGACCTCCCAGGAACCTCGTTCTGGCACGATTTAGGATCGCCAAGACGCCACATTAACTGTGATTCGCGGCGCTAAAATCCCAGGAACGGTGTCCTGGCACAGGGCAGGATTTTCAAACGCTTTCGTGAAGTGGATCCTTGTAGGGACATCTGAAGAGGGAGCTTGGAGGGAGGGTTCATTGCAATATCGTTGATAAGTCTTGGGTTTACACTGGCCCTCCTCCTCCTCCTCCTCCTCCTCCTCCTCCTCCTCCTCCTCCTCCTCCTCCCCCTCCCCCTCCTCCTCCTCTTCCTCCTCCTCCTCCTCCTCCCCATCCCCCATTGACCTCTATGGGATGAATGAGATGGACCTGTGAAGGAGGAATGGGGTGGACCTGTAACTAGGCCCTCGCTTCCCTAACCTGCCCCCGAGGGGAGGAGTCGAGGCCTCTGGGCCCGCGGGTCGACACAAAGTCGCTCCATGTCCCATGTCCGGGTTTTTGGGTGGTTCGGGATCGGCTGGTGATGCAACAGAAGGAGGGGAGGAGGGGAAGAGGAGGAGGAAGGGAGGTGGGGGAGGAGGGGAGGAGGAGAGGGAGGGAGGGGGGAAGGGGAGGAAGGAGGGGAGGAAGAAGGAAGGGAGGAGGAAGGAGGGGAGGAGGAAGGATGGGAGGGAGAGGGAAGGAGGGAAGGGTGAAGGGAGGTGGGTTGGTCGGTGGGAGAATCCGGGACGCCCAACTGGGGCCGCAGTTGTGGATGGGGTCGGAGCACCGCGCCACAAAACCCCCGATGAGCAGGCGCCCTGGGTCCCGAGGCGGCAGACCGCCTCCAGGACTCACCTCCTCCAGGAGCCATCGGGACCCATCCCGATGCGATCGACACGATTCGGCATCGCTTCCCGAGGGCGCCGAGATTCCCGCGAGCCGACGCGGCCCGAGACGTGCATGGCGCTGCTGTGTTGCTTGCCCAGCCGATCCGATTCGATTCCGACTCCGTGCCGACACGGTCCGATCCGACGCACGTTCCGATTCGATCTGGTTTCCAGACTCGATGTTGGCGGATATCTTGCTCGCTCCCAGAGATGGGATGTTTTGATGTGAACGGGGGGCCCTGAAATCCGACTTACTCCCCACGGCCCCAGGGCCGCCTTTCTCGTCCCGAATGGTCGGGAGGAGAAGCGGCAACGACGGAGAGAGCGGGGAGCGTTCTGGGATACCTCGGACCCCCTGAAGCAGAGGCTCCACTCGTGCGATCTGGGCCGGTTCGAGGGCAGCCGGGACCGCCCCCACGGGCCGTTGTCGTGCGCAGCCTGGAGCCGTACCAGGGGACCAGTCAAGTCCTCCTCTTCCCTTCGCCTGGGCTGCAAGTGCTGGGGGGGGAAGACATTGACACTTGCAATGGAGTAGAGATCGAGAGCCGCTCGGATCCGGCCCAATCTGGTTGAATCCGGCCTGATCTGGCTCAATCTGGCTTGGTCCTGGGCAAACTCCAGCTCGAATCGGCTCACTGATCTCTCGAGAGGGCGCCCTCAATTTTTCCGATTAAGAACTCCCGGGAGTTGCCTCCACACTTCCTCCCTCGTTTTCCTCCTCCTTCGTCGTCGTCGAGGTCGAGGTCGTCGTTGTCGTCGTTGTAGATGTCGTCGTGCCTCTGGGGCGGCCCTCGTGGCCACGGCTGGGCGCTGCCCGGGCAGCCGGCCAGGGCGGGCCCCGCGGGAGGGGTCCACGGACCAGTGGGGAGCTGAGGCTGGTCCTCGGTGGGGCCGTGTGGGTAGCCAGCCTCGAGCTGATCCCTGTCCCTGTGATGGGCAAGCCAAAAGCGATGGCAATCTTAGGGGTGCGCCCTCAGAAACTGAGGGAGTCTTTGCGCTCGGTATCGAGGTAAGGTGATGCCAAGCATAGGGATAGGGGTATGCTTCAAACTGGTAAGTGGGGGGGCACGTTCGCATGGATTTGCAGGTCCGCTTTCACACCACCCATCCTGCACCCGTCAGTGTGCGGGCCTCTGTGCACTGTGCCATCGACGCTGTTCGATCGCAGTTCGCACTTCCATCTGCTGCTCGCGCTTGAGGACCCTCTGCGCCGCCGACTTGCAAGGTTGTGTGTGTATGTGTGTGTGTGTGTGTGTGTGTGTGTGTGTGTGTGTGTGTGTGTGTGTGGAGGGGGGGGGCGGCCTTCTGAGGAGGCACGGGGGCTTCTGATAAGGTCTCCTATAGTCCACCCGCCTAGTAAGGATGAGCAACTTTCCAAGGTTACCCTTGCAGCCTTCCCCTTCGGCCCATCCTTGACCGCTTTCGCTGGCCGCGCCCCGCTCGCAAGGTGTCTTTTGCATCCTTATCGTGCTTCCTTATTTTGCAGGTTGACAGTCGACGGGGCGGGAGCCTCTATGGGACCACCCCGCACCTTCTTCGATGGTCAGGAGGGAAGAGCCGACACAGACACACGTAAACGTCGATTCCCATGGACCTGTGGGAGAGCACTTGAAACTGACGGGGAAACAAGCATCCATAAACCATTGGAAACGATGGGGAATCTAGGAATCCGTGTGTATTGATTCGTGCCTCCCCGGGCCCCTTCAGAAGGCCCCCCCCCCCTCGACGCCTCGTCCCCCCTCGGTGCGTGCCGCCGCATCAGGAGGCCCGCGGTGCTGCAGAACCGGCTGCAGGGCGAGCCGAACCGCAGCGCCAGGTCGCCATGAGCCAGCGGGGTCCCGGGGGAAGGGGGGCCCTGAGGTTCTAGGCCTCCTAGATGGGGTCGGAGTAGATGGGGTCGGAGGATCGCGCCGCATCGCCGATGCATCGACGATGGGGATCGATGCGGAGTCCGATTTTCTCCACGCCGACGTCGCCGATGCGTCGCCGATGTCGGCGATGCATCGCCGATGCATCGCCGATGCATTGGCGATGCATTAGCGATGCGGTGCGATCCTCCGACCCCATCTGCTCGGACCCCATCTAGGAGGCCTCCAGAGGTTTTTGCCTCTCCGGTTCCCACCTCTCAGGGCTCCTGGCGGGCCTGGGGCGTCTCTGGAAGACCCCGGCGACGCGCAGAGGGGGGTATAGGGGGAGGAGGGGGGAAGGCTCCTCAGAAACACCCCTGCTTCTCAGAAGGCGCGGGCCTTGTCTGCACATGTAAGGCCCGCGCCTTCCGAGAAGCAGCCTCCTTCTAATTAGCCTTCCCCTCCTCGCCCTACCCCGTCGTACGCGCCGTAAAAGAAGAAGCCGGTCCAGGGAAGCCGCAGGCTATCCAGGGCCAGGTTTCCCTCGGGACCCCTCCCCAGACCTCCGGCGTCGTGTTTTTTACAGTCGTGGCCCCTGGACCTCTGGATGATTTCCAGGGACCGGTTTTCTTTACGGACCTATTTTTTGGCTATGGGTCTCGATCCCGTGCATGGCTTTTAGACGCCGTGTAATTGCGAAAAGTTTCCGTCTTGATTCTCAGGACATGAGAGGTCTGGGTTGGCTCATGGCAAGCCAGGGCTGACATCGAGAGGGTTGCGCTCGGTTCTGGGGAGAGGGCACCGAAGGTCGGCCACGACGACGACGGCGGTGACTACGGCGACGGCGACGGCGACGGCGACGGCGGCGACGGAGACGGCGGCGACAGTGACGGCGACAGCAATGAATGCGACGGCGACGGCGGCGGCGGCGACGGCGAGGGAGACGGCGACGGCGACGGCGACGGCGCCGAAGGTCGGCAGGGTCCTACTCAACCTGCAGCGCGCCTGCCAGTGGGCCGAGCGGGCGGCGTGGCAGGCGCAGCGGTCCTCGCTTGAGGACCTCGCCGTGGGGCCTGGCGGGGTCCTGGTGGTGCCGGAGCTGGAGGCGCTCGGCGAGCCTCTCTGCTGGCGCTACAGGTCTGAGGCTGGAATGTTTTACCATCGCCCCCGCAGTTGCGGATAAGAGTGGGGGGGCGGAGGGGTCGTCGGCAGCCTGCGAGGTCCCGATAAAGCCCGCCGCAAGCGCCGATTTGTTCGTCAAAGCAGTGTGGGTGGGTCGCGGATGGGTCGCGGTGTGGGTCGCGGGGTGGGTCGCGGGTGGGTCTGATCGCGGGCGAGGACGACGACAACGACAGCAATCAAGCAGAATCTGCTCCGCGGAATCCAACTTCGGCCACGTACCCAGGACGGTGTAAAACCGCTCGGCCCTCTCACTCTGACATATCATCCACCGCCCGGGGAGCACCCAGGAGGCGGTGGATGTGGACATTCTCGGGCCCGTTGGGGCCCGAGCGTGTCCATACCCGCTGCGGTCTGGGCCAGAGCGGTTGCCCTTCTCCAAGGGGGCGGAGCGAGGGCGCGGTGGCGCGAAGACAGGCGCATAGCGGGGCGCGTCGCGCGAAGTGAAGGTGTCCTCTGACATGGCGCCGCGTCACAGGAGCTCTGTGTGGGAGTGGCCGTTTTGGCCAACACGGGGTCACATAGCCCCGCTGGGTCACCCGGCCAACACGGGGTCACACCAGCCCCGTTGGGCTCCCGAGGGCTCCCGAGAGGGGTCATGCAACATGCCTGCTGCCACGGGTGTGTGATTGCCGCAAGTTGGCGACGCGACAGCGTGAACGCGGATACACGCAAGTGGTGTGTGGACCCGCCTCGGACGCAGGAGCCTCGCCTTCGCGCTGCTCGCCAAGTTCGACCTCTGTGGGCGGCCCTCGCAGAGCCTCGCCTCCGAGGACATCGAGGACGTCGCCTCGGTGCTCCTGGCCTGCGGCGGCGTGCCCGAGGTGCCCGACGCCCGGGTGCGCTTCGTGGAGGTGCTCTGCTGCCACGGCGAGCCCGCGGCTGCGGCTGCGGGCGGCCATGCCCTGGTGCACCTGGCGGTGGCCCAGGCCCTGCGCGCCGGGGGCGCCCTGGACGCCGCCGTCCGGGAGAGCCTCTGCCAGCTGGAGGCCAAGGTGCTCCGGCCCCGGCTCGGGGACTACCGCGCAGCGCTGCTGCAGGTGGAGGGCGCAAGACACGTCCGTCCCCGCGGCCTCGCTGGCCGGGCCCCTGGGCCGCGACCCCGCGGACAGTGGGCGTTTCTCCGCGCATGCCCCGCGCAGAACGCATCCCTGCGACCGTGTATCCGCGGGACCGCGGTCGTGAAGCCAGACCTCAGCCACGCGCAGAAGGGGGTGGGGGGAGGGGGGAGGGCTTCTTGGAAGCGCCCCTGCTTCTTAGAAGGCGCTGGCCTTATCTATAGATGTGAGGCCGGCGCCTTCTAAGAAGCAGCCTCCTTCTCAGAAGCCCCCCCCCCTCCCTCCACCCCCTTGTGCGCGCCGCCAATACAGCTCGCCGCTCGCACGCAGGAGCTGGAGCGGGATGCCGCGGCAGCGCCGCCGCCCGCGCAGCCGGAGGAGGCCGCCGGCCGAGCGGCGCCGGCCGCGCCCGCCGCCGCGGGCGCCGCCGCGGGCGCCGCCGCGGGCGCCGCGCAGCAGCCCGCTCCACGCAGCGCCGAGTGGGGCCGGGGCCTCCTCAAGCGCGGCCGAGGCGGGCTCTTTGATGTTGATGATGCTGATGATGATGCTGATGCTGATGATGATGCTGATGCTGATGCTGATGATGATGAGGATGATGATGCTGATGATGATGCTGATGATGAGGAGGAGGATGAGGATGATGACGATGAGGATGATGAGGATGAGGATTAGGATTAGGATGAGGATGAGGTGGGTGGGGTCGGCATGGGTACGGAGGGACTGTGCGCGAAGACTGGCAGCAGCTCCGGCAGTTTTTAGTCGGGAGCGGGTTCGCTGTCCGTGCCGCCGAGAGCGCCGTGCATCGGAGACGGCTGGCCCTCTGCCCAGGAGCGGCCGCTGTCGGTTTCTGGCAGCACTAGCTTCAGGAGGAAAAGAAACACACAGACACAATTAATCCTCGATTCCCCGGAAAAGATGAGACAATATGGAAGTGGGCGGGAAGACAGAAACCCAGAAAACATGGGAAAATATAGGGAGCAGTTTTATTAGTGTGTATTTATTTGTGTGTCCTGGAGCCCCTTCATAGCTGTTGGGCACCGTGTCCATGGTTTCCGTGCCCGCCTCGGGCGTCCAGATCTCGCCGCGCCGCTGCCGCCCCTCTGCGAGGGGGGGGGTCGGTAAAACGACGCGAAGATCGGGACAAAATCGGATCGGGATCACTCGAAATCTCTGAGAATCGGCGGGTTTGGAGGATGTATTGGGCGCCGCGGCCGCTCCAGAGCGTTCCGGAACGCTCTGAGAGCGCTCCAGAACGCTCTGGAGCGATTTATCCGGATCCTAGCCCTGTTTTATAATGGTCGGGGCGCGGCGAGCTCGTCGCACCAGCGCCGCGCCCTGCGGCGGCGGCCGCGCTGTGCCTGCTCCTCGGGCCGTCGCCCGGAGCGCTGGGCCTTTTTTTGGGGGGAGCTGCCGGTGGGTCGAGGGCCCCCCTGAGGATCCAAAGCCTCATAATAATGAGGACCAGATTTGGGCCTCAAAAAATAAGGACATAATGATGTTGTCATCATATTATGAGGACGAAGCGCCGTCCTCATAATAATGATGCTTTTGATCCTCAGGCCCTCTGGCCTTGCAGAGTGTCAGAGCGTAGAGCCCTCCAGACCTTAGCGGGCCCTGGAAGCGACAGGGCCGTTTTTTTACCGGTTCCGTGTTGCCGTGTTTGTTACCGGTTCCGACGCCGTTGTTTTACCGGTTCCGTCACCGTTTTGTGACCGGTGCCGGCTCTGGTTCCAATCCTGGAGCCGTTTTTGTTGCCGTTTCCGGTCGCCGTTTTTTTGCCGTTTCCATTTTCAAGGGACATGTTTTTGGAAACGGTCAAAAAACGGCCCTGCCGTTTCCGGGGCCCACAAAGCTCCAGACATGTGTCCATGTGCCTGTCTTGGCTGCTCCAGTCTTCGATCGGGATTCAAATTCTGGACATTTCGCGTAACCCCACGAGTTGCCCGCGCGCACGCATCGACGATTTTCTCAGAGCGCTCAGGGGGCGACGGAAACGTTTTGGCCACCATTGAACAGTCAGAACCAACAATATTGTCATCAGTAAAGCATTCCAACAATAGATCATCAGCACAACGTTCAGCACGGGGTGAGCTCTGCATAGCCGTTAGGAGGGTGCCGAAGGCGAGGGAGTCGAGGCCACCATCAGGCCCACGAGGGCATAACGACCACCAGCACCTCCTTAGCCTCCAGTCCTTAGCATCGTCGCCCTCAGATCCATCGATTGACCAGGTCCTACCAAGAGCTTATCCGCAGTCCTGCACCAGACCCAGGTTCACGCAAGGTCCGCAGGAGGGGGGAGATAGGAAGAAGAAATGGGGGTAGGGCATCAACCCCCTAATCCACAAGCAGGTCACTCGCTGCCCACTTTCAGCACATATCTGTGAAGCGGTCAGTCCGAGAAACTAATCAGGGGCCTTCGCGTTACACTGGCACAACTAGAACTTGCGGAGCGGGGTCTCTATAGCAAGTCCGCATCTCGGGTACATGCGGTCGGTTGCCGACGAGTATCCTGAATCCACCAGTCGGGCTTGAGTCCAGTAAGCACCTGAGGCGATGTTACGATTCATACCTGCGGGCTCCGCCTCACAGTTCCGATTCAGTTTAGCAATTGCACCCTCCCTGGACCACCGAAACATCAATGCCCTCCTGAGAACCTTCCCCCAAATTGTGGTCCAATGCGTGCTCCCAGGGCAACGTTTGACAACCTTGAGACCGAGCAACCCAACGCGCCTGCGGGAAGACATTGTCAGCGATGCCAAGCTCAGTAGAGGTCTTACCACATCCAGGACAGGTCGAGCAGCACCTCAATCGTCGCAGCGACTGGGCCTTTGCCCCGTCTCCACCGGCTGCCCGCAGGGATGCCAGACAAACATTGAACAAGTTTGGCCCGCGCACGGCCGACTTCCACGCCTCTGTCGATGACTGCGGTCCTTCCAGATCTGGGAAACAAAGGAAGAGGGCATCTCGGGGGACAACAAACCTACCTCGCTTTTGACCACCCTCGCTTCCAAGAGATACCAAACAATGCCGAATTGCGGCCTGTACTGGTCAGGACGCTTGACGAGGAGGCGCGTGGTATGGCTTGGTTTTGCCTGGAAGCGAAAGCGGGGGAGGTAATTCACGCTCTGAGCATCAACTGCTCATGGTGAAGCCGAGACTGGAGATCATCCTGAGGCGCGGAGACACGAGACCAGACCATGGTGGTGCATGCCCCTGGATCTCCCGGCGCCTCGCAGCGCCGAAGGCGGCCATGCATCGAGGGACGGGCCCGGCGGCGGGACCGACAGCAGCTGCGCGCAGAAAACGCCGCGCCCCCCCTCCCAATACACCCCCCCCCCCCTCGTCCGGCCCGGCCGCGGGCCTCGGGAGGCCCCCCTTGGGAGGCCCCAGGCGTGGCCGAAAACCGCCAGAGCCCTCCGATCCTGGAGGCCCCCCGGAGCAGAGCCGCGTCGCCCTGGACAGAGTCCGACCCGGTCGGTGCTCGGCGATCGGCCCCCGAGGAGCGGCACCTCACCCTGGCCGCGCGCCGCCGCTGAGGCCGCCGCTCGGGGCAGCGCGGGCCATGGCCGAGAGCACCACCACGGTCCCGTCTCGTGCCTCTGCTGATTAGCAAATTGTCCACCACCGCTAGCTAGTATATGCAGGACGGAGGAGAAGGGGGCTATGAGGAGTTCCTCCTCCTCCTCCTTCTCCTCCTCCTCCTCCTCCCTCTCCTACCTATGGTGGTGGTGGCGGAACATGGGACCATCATTTGCAGCCCATCGCCCAGAGCAAGGGGCCGCACGCGCGCGCGCATAGGTTGCACCCGGGCGGAGGGGGGGGAGAGCCCGAGGGCTCGATGCCCCCGCGGTCCAACCGCCAGGGCTCGCAGGTTGGTACCCCTTCGATGCCCTACCAGCCAGCTTGCAGAGGTGCTGGACCTTCTTATCTTTCAGTTTGGCACGTCCCTCTACAGGAGGAATGTTCAAGCATAGTCAAAAACAGTCTGGGAACGATTTTGGCATATGTTGAACGATTTTCTCAAACCAGAAAATCGTCCACAATCCGCCTGTAGGGGGACATGCCTGACCTAATCCCATGTTCGTGATTACGCGCTCCTCCTGCGAGCCTGAACCTTGGTAGCACAACGCGTACGACCCCAGCGGCCGTCATGGCGCCAACGTCTCTGACAGCAGGAAGGGGGCGGATGGGGATGGTGGCAGCCTCGAATTTAGTAGCGAGGGCATCGCGCAAGGACGCGCGAGACGCAACATAACTGCTCTTCGAAGAGCTCTCACACTCCTGGGCTTCACGCCAATGGCGCAATTCAGTGCCAACAGGGAGAGATAATTGCGACCATCGTCAGCACTAAACCCTTGCTGCGCCTGGTAACCATCGTCAACATACGAGCGGAGATTGACGCACGAATGTACGCTCAGCTGCGGAGATGGAATCATCAAGGTACACTTGGACCCATGGCATACATTGAGTGCAGCCCGCAAGGATACCAGGCGCCGCATGGATGTCTTCTGGTGTGTATGCAGCAACCTCCACGGTCTGCGGGGAAGCATCAACCAACAACCCGAGGTAAAGCAAGTGGGTGGGCGCCCACACTTCATCCCACACGAAGACAACCGAGCGGGGTTGACAGAGTCAAGAATCTTGGTGAGGTCCGAGTGGAGAGCAGCAGAACATTCTCCGAGACACATGGCGACCTCGTGGCCGACCTTCCTCAAGTGAGCGGTTTTTGAAGCAATACTACCACGGACAGCATTGTCTCAACAATCAGTGCGATGGGAAGTCCAAGTGTCGAGGTCATGGCCTGTCATGCGACAGTACAATCGGTACGTCGTGAGGTAGCAAATCGACCGCACAGACTCTTGAGTCTTGGGGGGAGGGCAATTCTCCCCAACAAGGTTGTGACAATCAACATCAGCTGTTTTCTTCTCACTGGTTGTAAATCTCTGCCAAAACCTCATTCGCACGAAACGGGACATCCATGACATCACGGAAGGCCCAATGGTCCATTCCAGCCGCTGTGCTTTTGGAGAAGGAATCTGGCGCGCCTCAGGCCAACTCAACAGTTGAGAGGGGTTCCGACAGAGAGCGCCTCAGTATGGGCCTGACGCTTGGTGGCGTTGGCAGCCCCCCCCCCCAACAAAAAGGTAGAACCATATTGCATGAGACCCCCTGGGAGTTGCTCAATACCATGCGGGGTGACAAGGTGCTCAATGTTTGTTCGGCAGTCGTGCTTCAACCACGCATGCACTCTACGAGCACTATGTGGGAGGGCTTTTGGCAGCCACACCTTCCGCCTGGCCTTAGCTGCAGCACGAGCGGCCTTCCAGGCCATATTAAGGTTGACGGAGCCTGCATCGGACAGATCAGAAAATGGCCAGCCTATCTTGATACAGGGAGGGGTGCTATTAGAGCCCGCCACCAATCAGCGCCGTGGGGAGCATTTTCAGGCATCATGACCTCGAGGGAGGGCGCGAGCCCCACGGGATGACCGCGCACCACACCATATTGAGCATACTCTCCACGACGTACGGCGAGCTGGCATTTGATACATGTCTTTCAGATCTGTGACCAGAGACAAAGCGCTGGGCCTGAGCAGATTGTCCCACATTACCTCTCCTAGCAATGGTGGCACGCTTGAGCTGCACGGAACCTTGACGTTCAATGCCAATATTAGGGTAGGGGTGCCCTCGTAGACGGCAGCGGCACGGAATTTCAGTTTGAGCTCGGTAGCCGCAGACCAAGCTCAGAACATATTATCAAGTTTAGGACACAGGTGTTCACGAACACGTGGAACGGGAGGCTCCATGAGGGATTCAGGGATTTCCGAGGACCCAGCGTCACGGACACGAGTCATAAACATCTCCCAATGCAGGTGAGGCCCAACGCAATCAGGAATTGGGGCAGGCGTGCATTTTCCCCACATGTGTTGGTGACATACACGAGTGTGAGTCTTGAAAGGGAGTTCTCAAAGCCACAGACAGACACATAGGATTCAATCTCTTCACCTACAGGCACGGAGTCGATGGGGGACCCCCTGCCCTGAGTGCAAGTGACCTCCAGGATGGGCGAAGCAGAAAGCCAGACAGACGCAGCGATCCAACGTCGATGCTTACATCTCCCATGCACAGCCAGGGCACAGCAAGCGTTTGAACGAATGAGGAATTACCTTTCACCTTATCAAGGTTCTCTCCCGCGGCGACTCCCAATTCAGAAACCAGATTGGAACTGCTGACAGTCAGGCATGACGCCTGGGCTTTCATTTCCAAGAAGAACCAACTTTAGCCAGGTCCGAGGTCCCGAACCTTGAAGTCCAAGGGAAGGACCGACGGACACGTGAGCCTCGGCTCACCAGAGGCCGCACATTTCCACGAGTTCCCCCTTCCAGGGGAGTTGAAGGCAGATTGTATATGGGGCCGCCATGTTATGAGGCCATCCTTTTTGAACGCTTTGAGCTTGTCGCCCATCTGGTGATGCCCGGCAAGGAAAACTGTCACATTGGGTCTGTACACGGCCCGCCAAATTCTTTGCAAGAGTGCATCATGATGTAGAATTCCCAAACAGATGAATGATCTCAGAACCGTCAGCTCCAACCTGGGTGGCATGGGTGATTGGGAAGCAGCAGCGGCATCCTCACTTACGATTTCTCGAGGAAAGGTGTTCCACCGCGGCTGCCTCCGCTGCCACCATGTACTCCCCGCTGACCTAGCCAGGTGGGTACACCACATGAGGAGGAGTCAGAAACTCAACTCAATTCACGGACGTTTACCCATATGTTGTGTCTGCCATCTTGTTTGGGCCAGGCGCTGGGCGACCGTGTCCTCGACCTTGGTGTTGCAGTCTTCATGCGTTTGTCTGATCTTCTCCGTCCGGGTGGCCTTATCGATGGACAAGGCCTGCTCCAGCCAGCGCTTCCGCAACTCATCAAGTTCTTTGGGAAGCTCCTTTGGTTCACCGACGACCGGTCCAGCGTCATACATCTCAGCAGGTTGGGTTTGTGCAGCAGCTTTTTTATATCACATAAGGCCCACCCGTATTCAACAATTTGTGAATTTGTTCGGCACCATTTCCACAAGTCATCATCACAGGTCTGGTCCAGGTTAGGCGGAGGTGGTACTGCGGCCTGTGCTCAGCTCCTCCATTGCCTGCCTGGCATCCAAGGCCAGCGCTCGATGCCGGGCTTCAGGAGCCGCTGGCGCAGTGGGAGCAGCGTCTGGGCCATCTTCTGCCGCAGTGGCTGGAGGCTGCGCGGCACCGTGCGCCTTGGCCTCTGGGGCCTGGGCGATCTCCTGGCTCTTCTGCATCTTTCACTCGGCGGCGTTGAAAGTCTGACGCCTCTGTCAGCCTGTACCCGCTTGGTCTTCGGTCTTCGGTCTTCGCCACGTCCAACTCAGCAGTAGCTGCTGTTCGTTGAGCTGACAAGGAGCCTTGCTGTACTTCCCCTCCTTGTAGCGGATCTCCTCATGCGCGATCATTTCAGCACGGGCAGCAGCTTCGACCTTCTTGGCAAGACGTGGGCGCTCCTCACGTGCACCCGAGTCGAGCTGCTGTTGGCTCCACTCTGCAGGAAGATCAGGTGGTGTGGTTGCCAGCGGCTCGAGGGCACCTCGAAGACCAGGGTCATCTCCGGGAGGCTGGGCAGCTGCTTGACGTGTTCCATCATCAGATGCAGTGGGCTCATCATCCTCAGACTCCAAGGTTCACTTGTCAAGCGGATCCTCGTATCCGAGGTACACTCCACCACATTTCGAGCAGCAATCTTGTTCCCACTGGGAGTATCCCCAATGACCACAGTTGCTGCAAACATTTTAGTAGCATTGGGAGCCGCCGCCGTGCCGCTGTTGGCGGCTCCATTGTCCGCCACCTCTCGATCCACGACCTCGGCACACCTAGGTCTTAACCCAAGGCCTGAGGGCTATACGAGAAGCCATGAGCACCATGATCGGCATTTCCAGCATCGTCGCCACGTGAGCGCCAGCCTGCGCCGCGCGGAACGGCTCTCTGAGAAACGGAATTCTATCAGGGAGTAGGCCAACAAGGGCACCTCAAGTTTGCCCCCTGGATGCAGCCAGGCACGAGCCGCCAGGGCCCGCGGTTAGTATTTGAGCCCAAATGGCTACAGTGAGGGGAGGGGGGAGGAGGGAGTAGGGAGGATGCGGAACATGCGCATGAGGAAGAGGAGGATGAGGAGAAGAGGAGGAAGAGGAGGAGGGCGAGCAGTAAGGCCAGCGGCCTCTTGGAAGTCTCTCCGGGTCTCTTCGGATGTCTCTTGAGAATGTCTTGGGGTCCTATTGGGGCGTCTTGGCGGTCCCAGTGGCCTGGTGGAGCGTCTTGGGTAGGAGAGCATCTTGGGGATCTCTTGGGACCCTCTGGGGACCTATAAGGGCCTCTTGGCGCCTCCTGGGCGCCTCATGGGGCCCTCGCGGGGCCGTCTTGGAGCATCCTTGGGAGCCTTGGGGGCCATCTGAGGGCCATCTTGGAGGGGATCGATCAACCAAGGGAGGGGAAGTTAATTAGAGCTGTTTTCAACACCTGGGCA